ATGAATGCCCCAAATACATACTTCTACATTTATGTAAATCCGTTCATTAATTTGTTGCATCAAATACATACAAACATTGATATATTCAATTAATTAAATATGCACTGTGCAACTATGCATAAAAAATATATGTATATAAATTTAAGAATCGATCTCTAGTTCCATATTAGATGAGGTTTTTATACAAGCCCGTTCGACAGATTCGAAAGATTTCAATAAGGCAGACGAGGTTTTAGTACAAGTAGAAGAAGCAGCTGTGGTTAGCTGTTTTTTAGTAGATTCCATTGACATGGCAGAATGACTTATTAATATATCCGATACTGCGTCGGTTCTTGAAGTTATCTTCATATCGGTAGAAGGTTTTGCAGAAAAGGATGAAGTCGCTAAAGACGAAGAGAGCTGGTTCTTGGCGGGTGGATCTTCATTACAATATTGAAATTGTGATTGCTTCTGAAAAGGTGCATTTTCGTAAACTGGCATTATAAGAGCCCCTTTTTGGTTGTCAGTTAAGGCTATATTGTTATGGCTAATGGGAACTGAAGGCATTTTCACTAGTTCCTCAGCACCAATAGTAACTATTTCTTTGTTGCTACTGCTTTGTATGCTGGTTGACGACTGCTGTATTGTCGATGTCCTGCTGATGGATTTACTGGTGCTTGACATCTATTAGGAAACAATACATAATTCATAAGTGTTCTTAAATGCATGCATGCAATAAATTACTATGTACAAACATGTTATACTGACCATAAAGATAAATATTAAAACACAAATATATGAATATGAAATTTGAACGGGTAATGTTTTGTGGACGAAATACGAGTGTAGTCAATTTAAAATGTACGGGCGCATCTATAAAAAATTTTACATCACACATTATTCTAAATTTAATATTGTCATATTATCTTATATAGACATCGCCCTCATTTAAAAATACCTTGGGTATTCCACCGATACTCCTTATATAGGGCATAACAGGCTTGCTGAACATATCAGCCGATTTCATCCATTATCAGCCACTAAATCGCATTACATTAATTTTCGGGCAAAACTCCCATGTCATTTCATTATTATATATCATTTACCAATTGCAATATAAAAAAATGTAATTTTGGAAGACCGTAAAATCAAGTTTATAGAGAGAATATCGTTTATGAATACCAACATGTCTATAGAAAAAAGGGAACCGCCCAATAGGACAATCCGCTGAATACTCATGTGGCGACTCAATGTAGAAACTACATCAGTTTGACATTGACAGGTTCCGCATCCACCGTATTCGCTCGATCTGACTAAGGAACTAATTTGCATATTCGTCATTTATTGCTGGAGGGAGAGTGGCCTGATTATATTACATTTTACGTTTGGATTAGGAAAAGTCTAGTATTGGGCGATAATATATCAAAAAGTACAGCAAGCATTTAGAAGATCAGAAATGATCTTAACTGTACGAGTATATGGGAAGATCCTAGCCAACTCTCGGTCTGTAACCAATTAAGCTACAAATTTGGTACAGAAAGTTACAGAGTGCTCTGATACACTGTACCGAAATTATCTTTAGAATGTTTAGAATAACGGCGTTATTGGGTGTGGCAATAGTCCGCTTCCACTCATTTGCAATACATTGCATTGTCATTTAATACTCTTACATGCACGATATTTTATCAACATATCTGAATTTTTATTATTTTTAGTAATCGTTTGCCCAGACTAACAGATGGGCGGGCGCAAGGTAAGGCCAACATCCGGAAAAAATCATACCACTTAATCATTTTGATGATTTTCCTATACGTACCGTGTATATACGAGGTGTGTCCAAAAAATATCGGAAATTTTCGTTTTTTGAAAAAAATATTCGCCCTTTTCCCGTTGGCGTTTCCAAGTTGTAGTCGTTGTTATCGTCACTTCATTTATAAATTCGTATTCTTTAAGCATACCGTAACATCAAAGAGCTGTTATCGAAAGTTTAAATTAAAATTGAAAAAGTATGTTAACGCCCATTTCCGCCATTGTATCTGAAGTTGTTATTTTAAAAAAAAAATTTTATTTCAACCATTTTGTGAATTTAAGTACAATAAGACAATAATAATAATAATAAATGTTGCTCTAGCTTCGGATTTGTTGTGTATCATTTTTTTCTTTATTTTGAATTTTTAGTCCATCCATACCTTTAATATATACATATGTAAATAAATGTTAAGCTCCTTTATTGATATAAGAATGTTATTTTAAAAACTGTATTTACTTTATAACAACCGTCTCCGTCGCGGCATTTTGGTGGAAATGAATTAAGGCTTTTCGAAATATTCCTTCACAAAATATCGAAATTCAACGGTTTTATCTCCTTTCTTAAACCTTTAGCATAGGCAGGATTTTCCATTTCAGACACTAAAATTTTAAACTGCTACGCATATTCAAAATTACTACAATGACAAGAACGACTGTTACCATGTATTTACCATATCTGTTTCAAAATGGGGAATACGAATTTAGTTTCGATAAATGTCGATAACGCCAACAGGAATCCCAAAAATACATTCTTACTTCGTTTTAAAATGATAATGACAACGGAAATAGGGCCGATTTATTCATTTGTCTACACTAATGTTGTCGCCTTTGAAAACGCCCCCATTCGATAATATGCACTTATGCCAGCGCTTCTTTCAATAGTTGAAAAACTTCTCAGACTCGATTTTTGGGATAGCCTTTGCTCTTTCAGTAATGTTAATGTAATGTCATCTATGCCTGTAAAACGACGGCCCTTTTAGAATATCTTTATTTTTGAAAATAGGAAAAAGTCACACGGTACCATGTTTGACGAATATGGATTCTCTACATCGTAACAGTATTGTTTATTGTCAAGAATTTACGAAAAAAGTCTTTCATCTATTTCTTTTAACAAACGAAAATCGCCAAGCTCATGAAAACACGTCTAACCTTAGCGCAGGGATAATGGGATGCCCAACTCTTTCCAGTGTGAGAGCGCCTCAAAATTAGCGTGTTTTATAACATTTTGCATTGTAGCCAGATCGGACAAAATAATAATTTTTGGGAATTTAAATTAATTACCCATCATTTATTAAGATTAAATATTATTATACATGTATCCGTTAAACATATGCAGAAACTTTTTATTTTTTTTTTTTTGATTTTGTGATATATTAAACAATTGATTTTTGAACTTTCAATACGTAATCAAAAGAATAAATGTATTAGCTCTCAATTAATAAATGTTTTTAAAAATTTTCAATTGAAAATCAATACCACTTAGCATGACATCACAAAAGATATCATCACATACATTTCAATTTCGCTTTTCTTTCATTTTCATTGTTTTCCAATTTTTGTTAATGATCTTCAACAACAGCACAAATCTCTCTGTTTACATATTTTTCTGTAGGATTTTAATCTGGCCGTCCCTCTTTTTCCAATTGCTAAACGTCAGACCTACTGAACTTTGCTTGAGTTCAGTAGGTTTTGACGTACATACATATGTATATCATTTAATTCGTCACCTTGCGACGGTTTAACACTGCAGTTACACGATCAATACCTTGCTTTCAAGTTGATCAAACCACTTCAAATTCTTGAAAGTTTTGCACGACATTAATAATTTAAGGAAAAAATGGAATGGGAAGAAAGAGATGATATGAAAAAGGCCATTTCGTCGTTCGAAAGCAATTCGAAACAATTAAAAATCCAATTTGTTTGCTTTTTTCAACTTGTTCTCCACCATAAGCTATTCGAGAGACAGAGACATTTTAATTTCTGCTGTAATTGATTGATATTATATATATTGACATCAATTCTTGAATACAACGAAATATTCACACTCCCGACAATTGAATGGTGTGCATTGTTTAAAAAATTATGTGATCAGCTGTTTTAACTTGATCGTCAAGAATTGAATGAAAATATGATATCAAGACAGCCTTCAAGTTCGAAAACTGAGAGTGTGGTAGTAGAAAAGTTTGAGTGTATTGCAACTTGAAAGCAATTTCTTGATCGTGTAACGCCCGGGTAACGAGAGGTATTCATTGACATTGACTATCAATATGCATTTGCGAATTTGAACAAAAGTATAGTCTTCTTGTCTTGATTTGTTACATACATATGTAAATAGTGTGAAACCACGAATAATTTAAGGTATTTTGTTTATCTAACATATACACCCACTCATATGTGGTATGCTCGTATGAATGCATTATAGATTAAACTCAATTTGGGCGACGACGAATATTTGTCGTACTCGGCGACGCCGTCGGTGACAAGAATGCACAATTGTATATGAAGATGAACACTATACGCGACGGCGGCGAGCTCCGCCCACCATGATGATTTTTCAGATATAGCTATATCTAATTTTATCGCCAACCGCGGCGGCAAAAACGGCATCACCATATCAAAGAAAAATTGTTTTCAGTAAAAACTTAAGGATTTTCAAAAAAAATTTAAGAAAATGTCTGCGTTGGAAGTATTAAGATGGTTTATGTTTGGTTTCGTCATTTATTGTGATATTTTTGAGCGCGGAATATACACTATTTGCGACGAAAATCGTCGGTATTGTGTTTTACTCGGCGGCAACCATCGGCGAAAATCCGCCCGACGGCGTCGACGAGTACGACAAATATTTGTCGTCGCTCGTATTGTGTTTAAGCTATTACTCTTTTATGGGCGAAAAGATTTTATAGTTGAACTGTATGTGAAAACACACCATAGCTTTGACGAGTTTTTTAACATTAAATCCGAGTGATTCCATAAATTTTTAAAAGTGTGAAAACATGAGTAAGTCTAATTGTTGCTGCAATATTACTTTTTTAGCTCTTAATGATTGTTAATTTAGCGTTAGTAACAAAGCCTAGTCAATATTTAACAACATGGATTGCTGTATGCAACTTGCACAAGCGTGATACTGAACTTACTATTTTATACTTAGCTTATAATACTAAAAATATTCATTAGAAACAGTAAAAGTAGCAGCAAAAATATGAGATTCTTACCTTTGACTCAGTATTAGACTCCATAACGATTTTTGTTAAGCTTAATATCACACAAATCTGTAAAATTAAAGGTGATATATAATATTATGTTATTTTTAAATATGTATTCGTTGCTTTTATTATGTTAAAAAAACATCTATTCAAAATTTTTAAATTCGACAAAAGTGCATTAGGCAAAATTCGGAAAGGATGTATGTGTAATAAATTAGTGAAAAAAGGTTCAAATATGGCAGAAATTATAACGAATGCTACAACCGAGTTTATGATAAAAGAGCATTTTCATGACTCGACACCAAGGATCGGAGATACTACCGGTGTTAAAGCGAGTTTATCACAACTTAGCATAATCCAAAAGATCATTACAAATATTCCATATTTGAAGATACTAAAACTGAAGACAAAATCCCACTTTGCTATACTAGGCAGTTAAAAAAAACTTTCAAGCTACCTACATTCTGGACACCTGGATGGAACAGTTTATTATATTTATAGCGGAACTCCGTAAGTTGGAAGATTCGGCTGAGAAAGCGAAAAGACCCTTGGTGATGGGCGCTGACGTCAATGCGCACCACACGGTATGGGGTAGCAGCGATACCAACGACAGGGATGAGGAACAAACATATATAGGTCCTTCTTCGAAAAACGTTCTAGGTGTAACACTACAAACTAACCAATCAAGAGTGAAGATTGGGAGGCGCTTTGGATACACTCGATTTCTGAACATAGTCCAGAAATCCTAAGAACTCTTACTGTGATTTTTACAGGAAGATAGTAACAGGAAATTTTAAAAACTAGAGGAAAGGACCGTCACACTTACGAATATTCTCAATAAAGCGTATTACATCGCATGCCCTCCATTACATGCGAAGCGTGGTTCGAAGTCGCCTTGGTGTAACAGGGAACTCCAATCACGTAGGCGCAGTGTTCAGAAACTCTTAAAACTGGCCAAGATAGCTGATGAGGAGCCCTGCTGGTGGGAATATAATAAAGGAATTTAAAAAATAAATTGGCAAAGCCAAAAGGGAGTCGTGGAAGAAATTCTGCGACAAGTTGGAAACTACAACCGTAGTAGCTAGGCTTAGAAAACTACTATCCAAGCACCCGACTACCCCTAGACTCTTACGCAAAAAATGTTGAGAGTGGACTGGTTGCAGTGAGAAATCACTGGAAGACCTAGTCAACACGCATTTTCCAGGGTGTTCGAATGCTACTAACTACAATATATGAAGGATGTTAAAGGCTTAGCTATGTCCCTATTTTACGGAGAGAGGCGAGGGTCATTTTTATACCAAAAGCAGGCAGGAGTCCGCCTTTATTCGAAAGAACTTACTTAGATGTCTAAATAAGGACCAAGATTCCATCGGCTAACATATCGAAAGCTCAACACGCTTATACGAAGGGTAGATCCACCGAGACTGCACTTCACTCGTTAACCTTATATATAGGGCGTCTTTCTTGACATAAGCAGAGCATTTAATAATGTCTCCAATAATGCCATCGTTAATAGTCTGGAAGCAGCCGGGATAGAGCCCGCCATTATAGGATAAATAAAAGCTTTACTAAGCTGAAAAAATAATAACGCTGAATTGAACGAAACTAGATTGCTCAGACTAGCGCGAACCGGAACTTCTCTGGGGGGTGTACTGTCGCCTCTCCTGTGGTCACTTGTAGCAAATGTACCTTTGGGAAAATTTGAAAGAAGAGCATCCAAACTGATAGTCTATGCAGACGACATAGCTATACTAAAGCCGGCATGTTCCGAGAGACAATTAGTAGCGTGATGAATAGCGCTCTAAAAGTTATACACCAATGGGCATTATCGGCTAACCTAAAGGTAAATGACGGTAAGGCGGATATGGTAATCTTTACAAGGAGGTACAAGATCCCGGCATGGAAACCCACGAGACTCAACAGGAAAGAGTTAACTATTAGGGATCATACCCAAGTAATTTTGGAAAGCAAACTGACGTGTAAACTCAATGTGGCGGACAAGGTGAAAAAGGCTCGTGGTGCTCTCTACGCTTGTAAGCAGATGCAAGGGTCAACACGGGGCCTATCACCTGTCCTTATGCATTGGTGTTACACAGCAGTAGTCCAGCCAATCTTACTTTACGATGCTTTGGCGCGGTGTACCGCTCCCAGTAAAATATCATACAGGAAACTGTTGGAGCGTGTACAACGGCCAAAACAATTCCAACGGCTGCACTTAAAAGATTACTCAACCCGCCCCTGTTGATATTGCAGAGGAAAGCTTGGAAGCGAAATCAGCTTCCAGTAGAAATTTCGGACACAACTCGATAGGCACGGGCTCGGTGGATAAATAGACCATATACCCTCACGCTTTATCTGGGAGAAAAGGTTTCAAGTCCCGCTAAAAGAGGGTAGTTGACGCAATGGCACACGATCCACCAGTGACAGGCGACCCTTCAACCTGACGGGATACTGTAGTATCTTCCAGGCGGAAGTAGTATCTTCCAGAAAAGCTGCAGAGATAACTAATAACGCAAGAAATTACCTAAAGAATATCAATATACGTCGATATCAAAATGACAATTAAAGCAATCTCATTGGAGAATGTCCTTAGAACCAGGGTGGCAGTGGATATAGTGGCTGCCGGAGAGCGGCTACATATATACTGGATTCCAGGCCACGAGGGCGTTCTGAGAAACGAAATAGCAAATAAGATTGCCAAAAGTGCCATCCGGTTGACTACCAAACCAGTTCAGAAAATACGCAAATCGTTAAAACGATACACAATGAAATTTCCGAAAGCGCTGAGAGACTGATCAGCCTAAAGTAAACTCGTATCAATAAATCTCCATATGGCATTACAAAGAGCCTGTAAAGTCAACCGGGAAGTCGAAAGTCTCTATATTGACGCTTGGTTTTAGAATTAAGCTAGCTTGAGAACAAGTTTCTACGCATTTTTATTAAGATAACTTACACAATCAAAGATATATTCGAAATAAAGTTCAATAATATATATCACTATAATATGTAGTATATATTGGGGATGTTGGTAGTTCGTGGACCGACCCCACCCACCGTAAGTTTAAAAATAATTGTATTAGCCAAACGGGAAAAAGAATAATATTGCTATAGCAAAAATACGAAACTACACGAAGAAAAGTTTTATGGAAGTTGTAAAGTTGTTATAAAATCATGAAAAAACTAATTTTCTTATCAACTGAAGAGCTCTAAGAATCTAATAGTAGTTGTCATAAAAGATATGAAGTCTTCGGTTGACTCTAATGAATTAAAGGAAGCTCTTGAAGAAAATGACCACAGCCAATGTTCAAAATTGCAGTTGTGCCAAATGCTAACCACCTTAAGTACGCGATTTTAAAACAATTCACACTAAAAAGAAAAGAGGGTGGAAGGAATTGAATATTCGCCGCTGTGAGTGACACAAGCGAATCGTTCCCATTTGTATGGCAGTTCCATGATATGGAAGAAAATGAACACAACACAGCTGCAAATATTTTGCAAAAAAGTATTCCGTTGATGTATCTGATAAGTTGTCCAATGAAAATATTCACCACAGACACGTTTACGATGCACATTTTGAAACCCGTCTTACAACTTGTTGAATACTATCAATGTTCGAAAATTAGGAAGAATTTGAGAACATTTTGCACTTTACCCGTTTCTTTTTCTAGTGGTGAACGTTCGTTAATGCTTTAGCAAAGATCAAAATTTCCATCGTTCATGCTCATCACAGGGCAAGATTTCAGGACTAGCTACACTGTACCTTGAGGCAGAATTAGACAAGAAGTTGGACTTTCAGACTATTATCGACGCAATCGCTGACGCCAAAGCTCACTTCTTAGTTCCAAATAATTCAATTCAAAAGCGTAATCATTAATTAGATAAATAAATGTTTGAATGAGATGTTTGTGTCTTCTTATAAACTGTCAATTCCCTATATTCCAATATTCCGGTATAATGTGAACAAATATTTTTAACTGAAAGTCTATGTATGAACTGTTTTATAGATTACTGATTTTCAAAATCGTACAAAACAAATTTGTTCCACCCAACATCAACAAGAAAACAAATTTATTACAGATGAGATGAAAGCATAAAACACTATGTCGTATTTGACTTTTTCTTCAAAAACATTGAAGTAGTTAGTGGGAAAATAGTTAATAAAATTTATAAAGTATTAGAAACATTCCTACAAGCAAGGACCTCCACCGTTTTACTCCTGTGCCCAGTTTGTTTCTCTCACGGCAACCCTGTACATACATACATACGCAAACAAAGAGGTGAAACTTATAAAAGCAGTATAAAAATGAAATATGTACATTCCATACAAATAAAATTTAAAATATTTGCTCAACCGTAGAATCACTAACTGCCAAGAGTATGCGCACAGCAAATCATATCTGTGTTTGTGTAGTATTTGTGACCTATATCCTACGTTGAAATATACCATTAAGAAGGAGAATTTAAATAAGAAATATTTTATAAAAAAATAAATAATTTTTTGTTTAGTATTTGTGGAGGAAATTGCACTGGTAACCACAGAAAAAGAAATTGAAGTTCTCGTTCCAAAAAAAAACACGTTGTAACCAAATGCTGAATGCTCCTTGAAGTTATGCTAATGCGGTAAAAGGCAATACTGTACAAATGCAATTGCGCTAAAATCAACCAAGTGGAATTATGATTTTAAACCTCACCCAATTTAAGACACAAAATATTGTAAATCTTTTTAAATAAAATATGAGCGAACTAAATACATATTTGTATTTATAAAGTCAACGATGCTTACCAATATAAGTTGGAGTTCTCAATATTTATAAATGACAAAAAAATATAGATATAATGCTATAATCAGAAACTCATCAAACAAATAAAAACAATTTCTTTATATCGGGACTTAGGCTCTATGTTACAAATTACCAAGATCGAAAAGCGTATGGAGGAACATCAGGTTTGATAAGAAATCGGTTAAACCACCATGCTTTTTATATCATGTTCCCACCAAAAATTTGAAGTGATTAGATTAAATTTAATCTATTCACTAATCTAGACTGTCCTCACTGCCGTTGGCGGTTTATAAAACAGCTGTTTTTGACTAGCCGATAAAAGCTGTGACATTTTTTTTCGCTACAACTTTATTAGATCGGTTTCGCCAGCCTCACGCCACATTACTGTCCTTTTTATACTCTCGCAACTTGTTGCTACAGAGAACAATAGTTTCGTTCACCTAACGGTTGTTTATATCACCTAAAACTAATCGAGTTAGATATAGGGTTTTATATATATAAATGATCAGGATGAAGAGACGAGTTGAAATCCGGGTGACTGACTGTCTGTCCGTCCGTCCGTCCGTCTGTGCAAGCTGTAAAAATTGAGATATCTTTATGAAACTTGGTACACATGGTTCTTCGTACCGTAAGACAGTATTAATAAAAATAAAAAAATTGCCATAACTAAGTCACACAATAAGATACAAAACTGTTACTTGGTATACAAGATCACATTAGGGAGAAGCATCTACAGTCTAAAATTTAAAAAAAAAGGGCGAGATCTCGCCCCCTAATAGGTTTAATGTGCATATCTCCTACACCGCTAAAGCTATTAAAACGAAATTCACTGGGAACAAATGTTTTTAGCATCTCTATCAACAGGGGGTGACATCCCCGCCCACTCCCTATGTAACGGTACTGTTGAAAACTACTAAAAGCGCGATAAATAAAGCACTAAACACGCCAGAAACATTACATTTTATCTCTAGGATGGTATGAGATGACTTTATAGGAACCACGTTCAAATTTAGACAGTGAGCGTGGCATCGCCCACTTTTAGGTGAAAACCCATATCTTGGGATCTGCTTAACCGATTTCAACAAAATTCTGTAATTAACATTCTTCTCATATTTCTATACAGTACGAAAATGGGCGAAATCGGCATTCACCACACTTATTTCCCATATAACAATATTTTAAATTCCATCTGATTTTTTCACTTTCCTGTATGCAAATCAAGCAACAATAATTAATCAGCGTAAAACTTTGCGTGAAGAATACGTTTAAAGTATGTCACCTTGTGACCAAAAATTGTCTAAATCGAACCAAAACTGTTCAAGCCCCTACGTACTGAAGATGTGAACCCCAGTGCCTATAGTTGACTCTTTACTGAAAATATCGGTCAACATAGAACAAGGCGGCAAAGAAATCTAAAACGTGTATACCATTTGACTTTACGAGAGTATAAAATGTTCGGTTACATCCGAACTTAGCCTTTCCTTACTTGTTTGATACTATTTTCTGTCAATTTCACTTATTTACTTGATATTACTTCAATTTCTAACTTTTTACTTTCTTGTTTGTTTAATTTTTTTTACTTTGACAGTTTGTAGAGTCGAAATCAACTGTGATAAAACGAAATGTGACAAGCAGAGGGATATATCGATTATATTAGATTTAAATCACCTCGGCGACGAGGTACACAAGTGTAATTTTTGTATGGCGAAGTCTTGCTAAATCTAGTAGATTAGTGAGATAATCTACTTAACAGCCTAAATCCTGTGATAAAGTGTCGGTCAGAACATGTTATTAGAGTCTCATACAACTGCTCAAATTTTACAACAATATCTCGCGACAGAGACTTAAACCTTTCAGCTGTATACTGTTCACCTCGTTATAAAATTAATAAAAATGCTGTAATAAAATATATATGTAAATAGATCACTTTCATAAAATTTTGCACTGTGCTTCGTCACAGAAGATTTGAAACTTACAGACCACCGTTGTGTTTTGGGGGGGTGGCCATTATGTAAGCAGTGAATCTATTCATTTGAAGTACACCCTTTTCAGAGGTTAAACACTCTGCCTCGGTAACCTTTTATGATTCGAAAACGACGTGACATGGAAGGTTTATTGTAACTAACTAAGAGACCTGTCATGTTGAAAGCTTTAGATAATAAAATGTGCAAGTGAGGAAAAACACATAATAACTACGTCCAAGTTTATTACAACAAAATGCAAAACAATTACAACAGAATCCTTAAAAATTATTTAGTGCACAAAACTAATAATATATAAGTCATAAGATGCGGTATGATATAATTACTCTTCAAATCAGCCAGTTTTTAAACTGTTTTAAAATTTAATTGTGGTTGTAGCTTTTAGGTAAAAATATGTATCTGACCAATTACTTTTTTGATTTTAATATATAAGCAGTCGGAAGACAACCTCACCTACATTTTGTTCTTCTAATTGACTTTGATCAATTTGTGAGACATTTAAATTAAATAAAGAGAGATATTTTATTGCACCTAACGTGTTATGAAGGAATTAATAAAATTCAGACGTTCACCGAGCTTCTATGTATCCTTTATAATTATTGTATTTCGGCGTTTAAAAGAAATTTGTGTTTTCATTTGTCATTTGAGCCATTCACAAAAGTAAAACTGCTGTAAAATATTCAAAATGAAACTTGGTAGCATGCCTTAAATCAGGCATCTGCATACTATCTTGTACAAATTCATTTCGATAACTTTGTTGTTGCTTTTACATGTAAGTTTTTTGAAAAGAGAGCAGCGCGCAAAGATAACGAGCACAATGGCGAATGGAAGACAGCTATAGTTACTAGTATTAATTTCAGATCACACCCGCTACCCCCTTACATAATTTTACGATATATCTAGATGTGCATTGCTTGTTAAGTTTGCTATTTGAAACAGATATTTTGTTTTAAAGTGGCAATCAAGACTACATTCTTTAATGATATACAGAGGAAGCTTTGTCTATCAGTCGCAACAAATGCGCCTTACAAAAACACATTTATGTTTGTATTGTCATTACTTATATACTTACACATATTTTTATGTATAACACACATTATTTACAGCTGCTTTCAAAATTTCATAAACTGTTCACATAGCTGTCACAGCAATTTAGGCATTTACTAAAGCGCATATTAATGTGTATATTTATACGATTAGGTATCATCTTACAGATTTCTATTCAGTAGAATAGAAATGATTTATTATATATTTACACATATATTTATATATTACACATAGGAATGCGCCTTTATTTAACAGCTGCTTTCTAAATTTCACAAACTGTTCACATACATGTCACATCAATTTAAGCATTTACTTTAGTACATAATTAAACACATATCAATATGTAATTTGTACGATCAGGTATCGTTTAAGAGTTTTCTAGATATTCAGTAGAATAGAAATGATGGTGATAAAATTCCGCCAATATCATGAAAAAATGTTCCTATTATGAACAAATATATAACCAATAAATGAAGTATTTTTTATATACATGTACATACATTATGTATAGCAGGAAATTAAAATTTGTATTGTTAACTTACTGCTTAAAAATTGTTGAAACAATTTACACCTGCTGCTGCGAAGAAAAAAATCCGTCACACTTAGAATAAATTTGCAAATTAGCGCACAATTTTTTACACCCCTAAATATTAATATATGATTCGTAAAATAATATTAAAATCGTTTTCTTTGAAATAACAAATTATATCAGAAATAACTTAAAACTTTCAGATGATAAGAATACGAGATGGGAAATACCAAAAAAAGCAGGAACAAATACTCAGGAAAATTAAGAATAAGCGCATTAAACGCGAGACCAGCGAAAAATGATTTTTAGCTGACAAATAAAACGGGCAAAATTTAACGAAACGCCAACGCTAGAAACAGTATTATATATCTATATAAATGTAGATATACATTTATTTATATATATTCTTTTTTATGTTTTGTATATGTGTTTGGAACGCATCCATGAATAGGCTGCACACGGGTATATACATGTATCTAAGTAATTTCTGTTGGTATATACACAATACCAATGTGAACAACAGATTTTTTTCTTAATTTTGTGTTTCATATAAACATATGTACAAAGTATAAATGTACATATCTGCATATATCCGGGCAAGTTAGCAAAAAAAAAATAATAATACTAATACTGTAATTACGTTTTTCAGACATTTGAACACAATACCCTAAATATTAAGATTTTCATATGTCTAAATCAAATTTAGTGGATTGATACAACCGGTGTCTCCCGCTTCTGTATGCCCATTATAATTATTTCCGTCTCGTTAGTTTGATTTATAACGAACTTAACGATTTCACCATTACATTAATGAGATGTTTATATGTGTCTTAATAAAATTTAGTGGAATATATAAAACCGGTGCCTCCAGCTCCTGTAGGTAGGTAGGTAGAGTGGCTGTCTGACGACGCACCTAGGTCTATAGGAGACCCATTGTGATACCACCGGGACTAATGTTCCCTCACTCTATTGTCTTCTCTCTAAACCACCCCGTGCTTCTGATGAAGCTCATCAGTACAAATAGTTTTATATGAGCAACTTCCGAGACGTCGACCGATAATTGTGACTTTTTTCCTGTATAGAGCTTTGCCTTCGCATAGAAGCTGTTTTACCTCCTAGCAGCTTCTACAATAGTTATTGTATGGTGCCCCTAGTCTGGTGGCATGTCTACCAAGTAGACAGCGACCTATTAGCACTCCTACTAGACTTGTTATGTCATTCCTTTTGAATTTTAATAGTCGGTATGTGCAGCCCATGTTCTATTCATGCCACGTTTGCCTGCTTGTTGAGCAGGGATTGTCTCCACCGAGACTCAGCTAAATTTATAACATGTTCGTCGATTAAATATTTAGAAATGGCCAGAGGCATAAACATTTTCTCTTTTTCGGAGTCTAATTGTAAGGTGGTGTCTGGCTAGTTCATCTACTTCGCAGTTACCAAGGATATCACTATGAACCTATTGCAGGTTTCCAGCTCCTGTATACCCATTATAATTATTTCCGTCTTGTTAATTTGATTTATAACGTACTTAATAGACGGTTTCACCAATACATTAATGAAATGGAACAAAGATACCAGGGAAGATGCAGCTTCTCAGGGATGGCAGACTACTGTTAGATGCTGCAGAGCGAAATTACAAGCGAACTACTCACTGGGAACAATAAAATTGTATTTAGTACTTACTAGTTTATGTATTTGAGATTAAAAAAAATAAGTTTTGTTTCGCAATTATAAATAATTTTTTTTAGTATTAGTTATGCTATTTTAAGATGATAACTTGTTTAACATAGATACCAATTTTGTCAGAAAACATGACATTCTATGACAAATTGAGAGTCATTTTCGAATTTAGCACGCCCAAAACATAGGTATTACGCAAAAAAATTAAAACACCTCTGATTTTTTTTTGCTGACTTATGTTATTTAACCCATTTAAAAGCAATATTACGGCGAAACAAACTTAGCATCTCTTTAACCCAGTTGGAAAAATGTGTCCGACGTTTCCTTCTGGGTCCTACAAACTTCGTGGCAAACTTAATATACCTTGCTTAGAGTATAAATATTAAGAAGTATTAATAAAAGAAATATTAAAAATTATATTTTTTTAGTAATAATATTTAAAAACAAACTACTATTCTTATATTTTCAAACAAAACATTATAATAATACTACTGAAGAAAGGTCGCAAATAGCAGCTTTTTTTTAAGATTAAATAATAGTTTAAGCAGACAAATAATAAAACAAGATAATAATAATAACGACAAATATATGAAAAGCTTTTTATACAAGGCCTTGTCGAACAGTTTGTACGACAACTATATGCTACAGTAGTGTATTTGAAAAATTTACATAGGGTTAATTGGCCCCATAAAATGTAAACAAAAGGGTCATTGACATAGCTGAAAACAAAGGTCTTGACTTGGCTAAATGTAAACAAAAGGACCACTGTCCCCAAAAAGTGTAAACAAAGAGGTCATTGACCTCATAAAATGTTAACAGAGAAGTCATTGACCCTAAAAAAAGTAAGCAAAAGGATCATTGACCTAAATGTAAACAAAGGTTGTTGACTTGGCTAAAGATCTTAAATGAAAAACTTTTTTATTTGATAAGATATCTTCACGAAATTTGGCATTAATTATATCCCAAGGCAACAACACAATCTACGAGTATTAATTTTTAGATCGGACCACTATAGCATACAGCTGCTACACAAACTGATGGCAATATCAATCCATCAAATATTTTTATACTTTTTTATGTTCTAAGAAACTTACCTGTGAAGGGTTTCAGAGCTTTGGAACTGTAGTCAACATGTTTTCTAATTACTTTGATCCCTTCAACGTTTAGCAATATTGTCGCATTTTCTACGGTTTTAATATAAAATTGATACCTTCTGTTCAGTTTTTTTTTATTTTACATTTTATAAAAAATTTAATAAGTAAAATAATTGCTGCATATCACATGATAGCTAACGAGTAAAATTAAATCAACAAACGTATGTAGACGGTACATTAGGGTGACCGTAATTTGAATTTTTGAAAACAAATGCCTAAATCATTTTACTTTTTTCATATATTTAATATGAGTTTTTTTAATATTTTCCTATAATAAGCTTATAAATCTACAACTTTAAAATAATAATGTTCAAATTTTCCGCCCTAAACAAAAGTTCGTTATGATTTTTTTTAATAAAAACACTCCTTTAAAGATCGTACGCAGTTCAAGTTATGCTGCGATTAGTCAACGACGCAAAAACATATACTGCATCAGCTTACACGATCTTATGAGAGCGCAATGTACAGGGGTGGCATGTGCTAAAATAGCGTAAATGTGAACAAAAGAAAACAACTGATTTCTACGTTGTCGGTAAGTACGGAAGGGCGGAATGTCAATGACTGTTTCCAGCATGAATCTGTCAAAAAAACCGTATAATAAACGCTAATTTTGAATTGCTCTCACATTGTAATAAATTGGGCATCCCTTTATCTCTGGAAACTCTGTTTTTATGCTTGAAATGCAATGCAATGTAACATTGCCTACAGGGATAATGGGATGATCAACTCTTTCCAAAGTGAGAGCGCCTCAAAATTGGCTTTTTTTCATTGTAGCCATATGGGACAAAATAATAATTTTTGGGAATTTAAAATAAAATAAACAACATTTATTTAGATTAAATATTATTATACATGTATCTCTTAAATACATGCAGAAACTATTTAAACCATTTTTTGTGATTTTGTAATACATTAAAACCATTGATGTTTGAACTATCAATACTTAATCAAAAGAATAAATGTATTAGCTCTCAATTAATAAATGTTTTTTATAATTTTCAATTAAAAATTAATACTACTAAGCTTGGCATCACAAAAGATTTCATCACATACATTTCAATTTCGCGTTTTTTTTCACTTTCATTGTTTTCCAATTTTTGTTAGTGATCTTTAACAGCAGCAACAAATCTCTCTGTTTACATATTTTTCTGTAGGATTTCAATCTGGCCGTCCCTCTTTTCCAATTGCTAAACGTCAAAACCCATTGAACTTTGACAGTTAGCTGAGTTCAGTAGGTTTGACGTTTAGCAATTGCGCTCTCATTTCCAGTGAGATATGAGTTGGGCATCTCTTTATCTCTGATTGCCTACCTTAAAAGCAATGAGTGCAACATGTACTTGGTGTTAAAAGTGCATGATGTATGTATGGAAAATAGAAAAAGAAACGTTGGAAAATCGTGTCGATTTAAATTTTTATAATCGAAGTGCGCTTAAAAAACCTAATCAAAATAGTAATTTGTGATAATCGTACAATTATAATACCATAACATACTTATAATTTCATGAACAGTGGTCTGGATCGACTTCATAATCAGGAATCTCGGCACATATGATATCAAAAGAAGAGATAATGGTTGTTGGTGATGCGCGTTTACCGTAGTATCGTGTTGAGAAACCGTGTGCTGCTGTTGCGAACGTGCTGATGCGGACTGGACGGGTGGATGGTCTGGCCGTGATGTATT